GTCCACAGATTCGGGATGTACGGCCTCCATTCATCCCAACCTAGGTCTCACCTATTCTGTTAGGGCGGAAAAAAAAAATTGTCGGGCTGGTGATTATTGCGCGCTTTGTCTCCAACTGCCCTTCACTTCGTATTTTCCTTTCTGAGCGCTAGGCTATACCCCCGGATACATCATATGATGCGCAATCCCTAGACGTGATCTCTCATTACTGAGGGAAGGTAGGTATGCCCTCCGAAAATATGATGCCGTCAAGGACTTTCACAACAGAATCGATCCTGGCGGGTATCTCAGTATCCAATCGATGCACGTTCTCCGGATCTACGGATCCGCGATATTCACAGATATATCGACTCCTCCTTGCCCCGTTCTCAGAGTAGACAAGATCACATACACGCGTGGATAACAAACAGAAGGGAGGAACTGATCTAATTAATCCTCCAATCCCTAGCCCAGACTAATGAGATATCCAGAGCATAATCTGTGGAAAAAGAAACAAACCACAGCAATCGCCAAACGGTAGCCCGACGCAATCACGAATATCCCCGGGGGCCGACGCAACCTGACGCCTAGGGAATCCAACCCACACCTTTATCAGCTTGTTTCTTCTTGAGAGAGTCTGCACAAGTCATGGCCACCTTACTTTCGTCACGGTTGATTCCGCATTCGTCCAAAACAGAGGCTCCTACATGGTCCTCCCGTGATGGTGAGTTTCCTTGGTAGGCTCCGGCCGGAAAGAACTCCTTTAGTGCTGGCTGCAACACTTGGCTTCAGTCGAGTCAGTATCACAACCCACTGTGCGTTGTGGTAAAGCCTGTGCTGCTCTGAGATGATAATCTTTCCATATCGAGCCGTGAGTTTTTTCCATCCGAATGACATCCGGAGGAGATTCGACACTGAGACGATAGAGCAAGGCGTTCGCAAGTCAAATGCATTTCTCATATCGAACTGCAGCTCCGAGCCGCACCTTGCTCAGAGATTTCGCACGAAGTCCCGAGGGAGTACATTACTCCCCTTTGACGATCGGAGCTCTTCGGGAGCCGACCTACCTCCCCGGAACTTCGAATAGTTCGCTCGATCTCAAGTGAGACTCGGACGCGAGACAAGGATAACGATTCTTTGCTGAGCCCGTAAGCCGCAATGTCGCCGTCCTACCTCGAACTCGTCGACACGATAAGTTCCGTTTGAGAGAGCTCGGATGCTGTGTATATTCACCCCGACTCCGAGAATTCAGTCCTCTTACCATCAGGATATCTCTTTTGAGTATCTCCGCGTCCCTCTGTCTCTCGATGTCAGGAATGCCGCCTCCCGAATCCGCGCTTTTCGCTTCTACAGCAGCCGCGTCTGATAGGGCTCTGGATTCTCGATATGATAGAGACTAATATTCAATGACCCGCATGGCTTGCAAGTAGAATCGCTCAAATGGTCATTCACAACGGCGTGCGGCATCCCTCAGCTCCGGCCTTCAGAGCGGCATTGAGCGAAGTTGTAGCTACGGTCGATAATCATGCTCCCTCTAACGAGACATGGGTCGCCCAAGGTTGAGATGACAATGGTGAGAACGATGAGCAACTCAGAAGGCTCCGATTCTTCCTTCGCGCCAAGGATGATGTATTTTCGAGGTATGTGTCATCACAAGAAGTGTACTAATTTATAATTCTTCGGTAGAATACCTTCCGCGATGTAAGGAAATACATCGGCTACCAACGGCTCTCCAGCGGCGATCTCGTCTCCGATGACGACTCCAGAGATGCGGGGGGTCCTTCCGATCCGGCTCCTCAGCTCTCGGACTACATAATAATTGAGAGTCGCAAATCTCAGGTCAGGCAACACGCGGATTCATCCACCGGAATAGAACTTTCGGGAATAATTCGTACTGACCTCAGTTTTCTTCGGGCGCCGCGGTCGCTCCGGCCCGTTCGCGCTGAGCGCGTACGTAGTATTGCACCAGGCGGAGAAACGGGGGTCAGGCTGGAATGGGCATGTTTTTAATTGGGCCATGGCTTCTCTCGTCCATCGCCATGCTTCCCCCATAGCCCCTCGTGATTATCCGATACGGCACTGGTTCGCGACACTCTGACCATCAACATCCCCGATCTCAGACAGTCTCCAATCTCGAGGAATTTCGCCTCTTGCTCGCGGGAAGTAGTGCTACCCGAAATCGCAACTGCACCCGTGGGAAGTTTCGAAACACCATGATTGATAGTAGCGACTTTAGATTGAGCGATGCGCGCAGTCTTAGGCTTGCAACGGGGCAATGTCATTTCTGATTCCAAGTGGCTTATCTGCTGCTGGACTAAAAATAGGAATTTCCTTGAAGGTGGCTCCAATTGATCCGGTGGTACCGAGAGGTAGCCATTTGACGAAGTCTTCCAGCTCTAGTTTCGAGGACGACGAACTGTGGACGGTGACTGTGGACGTGGATGCTGGGAGCATGGAGAAAACGTCGGGAAGATTGAGCGACAGGAAGTGAGCCCTAAGATTAAATTATATTCCGAACGTAGTTCTATCGTCATATGATCGTGTATTCCCATTTTGAATTCGGTACGGTTAGTCCCCCTCGGGCCCTTCCCTCCCGAAGAACTTCAGGTGACGAAAAAACTTACAGGAAGAACCCTAACTTAGGCGACGGATTCGCGGACTGCTTCTCGGGAGTAGCTGAGCAAGATACTGCTTTGTAGATGTTAGAGGTTGTAGTGTCTATGATTTGAGTCGGGCGGAAAGTAAAGCGAATACAGTTTGAGCCAAAGTTGCTGCGAAGGAATTCTATGCGGTTGTCGTTCTTTCACTCATCAACGTCAGCAATCCCTCAGAAATTCCATTGAAAATAGGCTCATCCAGAGAAGAGTCCGGATATCATGATTTGTATCTCTCGATCAGTTCTCTTGCGAGTCGGAGAAGTCTCTCGTTCGAGAGTCGAAGTTTTATCTCTCTAATCCAAATCTGCGGAGCTGTTGACGAGCCCTGCGATGCGTGCATCCACAACGTAGTTTTGGACCGTATAGTCGCATCTGACGCCGAGTGCTCCCGTGGGAAGAGACGAGAATGTTCTCATCCAGTCTTTTAATTGTTAAGCAGTATTCGACAATGTAAGGCTGAATGTCGCCCCATTCATCGGTGTGAACAGAGTGTCATTTCAACGTGCGAGAGTGCGTCTGTTGCGATAGGCTGCTGCCGACTATTGGGGTATCGGCGCATTGACCATTCATTTCTGGAGGCTTCACAGCAGGAAAGATTGTCGTAAAATGCGGTTTTGGTGCTTCCTGCTGTCTGAGCTGGTGGATTGGGCCCGATTGTTGTGAAGGGCGAAAGAGAAATTTCGCGAGCCTCCCGGTATCGCTCCACAGCATTTCGCGCAGCGTCCGCTGTCGCGGTGACTCCCTCCCCGGTACGTTGCAGCTGGGAATGAATCCGAGAATCGCGATCCGGCCCTTCGAGTCAGAGATTCTTTATCAAGCATGTCGATACCGAGTGCTTATCATACTCATTTCTGTGGAAGCGCCTCGAATGATAAGCGGCATAGCTCAACCTGAGTCAGGAGGAAGGGCTGTGCCCGTCTAGACCTCAGTCGGGACCTGCCCCCCTCGTGTCGTGTGCTCCTTGTCGGAGGCAATGCATCCGTGGACCTATTTATCTATACCGTACATTTTTTTCACGATTTTCCGAAGAGCTGCGCTGACCGTCAGCAACAAGCTTCTCCCAGAAAACCTGATGCTCCGGCGAGCGTGGCGGCATTCGAGTGACGGGAACCGCGCCATATTGGCCTCGAAAAGATTCTTGTTATTATAACTGTATCTCTGATGAATCGTTCTCCATCGCGGGATCAGAGCTTCCATAGTGAAACGGAACCGCTTCGATGCAATGATTGAAAGAGAGGTTCACCGTTATTACGCACGCTGGCCTCTATCCTAGCGCGGACGCTGTGACGTGATTGTAAGGTGCCATCATGGCGGCGACCGCCGCCGTTCTTTCTGGAGAGAATTACTCACTGCCGGCCGCACATTCCGTTTTGCGAGCGCTGAGTCGCGGGTATTCTTTTCGTCTGAGAGGCACCTCGAGAGATGAGCCGTCTCTTGATAGACTTGCAATTCGGACTCCGCGTCATTTGGCTAAGTATCAAGTGCGCGGAACCCAGACCGGCTTGACTCTCCGAATATCGGTTGTTCTGAGCTCAGAGTCGCATATGAAGAGAACTCACCGATGGCAAGTTTTTTTTTCTGAGCAGGTAAGCCTAAAACAGAACTCTTCCGCAGATCGATATTCAGAAAAGAGGAAATAGAGAAAGAGTTGGAGGCCACGAAGGCCAACTTGCAACGCGAGCAAAAGAAGAGAGAGCAACTAGAAGAATCTTTGAGACGATTGAAGACCAAAACTGGGAGATCGGCGAGCACAATTTCCGAACCAGGATGTATCGTAGATACGATTTCACCGAAGGATTTGTTGTACGGTAAGCTCCGCGAGAACCCCCTCATCGGGGTCTCGACACTCCGGAAATTCATCTAGTGGGGCTCCATGTCAAACTACGAGTCGAATCACTCGATAGTCTGACTGAGCAGCGCTGCGGCGGTTGGGCACAGCCCGGAAGGTCATCACGTCATGAGTCGGTGAATGTTTTCGTGCATTACATCCTCTTGATTCCGCAGCTTACACCAATGAATTGACTCTGCGCGTGAGCTCCCAACTGCAGCTCGATGGAAGGGATTATCTCATCGAAAAGATGCGGAGAGCACACTCCGACGACGAATCTGAACCGGTAGAAGGTGAGTTTGGACGACGGAAAGTTATGAGATTGCTCTGATGGAAGGCAGACTGAGATGATTCTTCTCAACTTCTTCTTCAGCCTGGTTCGATATATCGACTTCACAGAATGGTCGAAACGGCTGGCATAGACGCTACATTGCACTCTCCGCAACGAAACTACTTTTCTACGAGTCTCCAGAGGTGGGTCTCCAGCGTGTCCGTCAGCGGGGTCGATTGGAGAACTTCAATTCCTCAACTTCGCGCGTCCTCCACCCGAATTTCATGAAGGTTGTCTCTCGTGTTTCGCAGGACTTTTTGCAGAAGAAACCCTCGAGAGTCATCCGACTTGACATGCTGATCACAGTGAGGAATATCATCACCGACACAGAAGGTCGCATTTCGATCGCCAACAGCAATGCTCAATGGTACTCCATTCGAACGATAGAATCCCGCAATCTCTGACCAAGACGGTCCGAGAAATATAGCTGGCGCTCTCAAAACCATCCAGAAACATTGAAATGGGAGGAACGGGGGAATCTTTCATCCTCGAGGCCATACGCGTTGAGCGCTCACTTAATCCATCGAACTCGCAGCTGCATTCATATATGCTACGTGGTCGAAGGAGAGACCCGACTCCTTCCTTGGATGAGGAAACAACTAAATTATGACGAACTTGCCCGGAGTCATTTCGATTATAAAGCTTCGCTCAAATCCAGCAGAAATCTTTATCTGAGGTGAGCTTGGGCTGGAAATCCATCTCCGGGACGAAATCCATAACCGCAACTCATTGCCGGGCGCCATCCGCATTCTATAACGTGACTCTCGCTTTGCAGAGCGAAAACCTTCCGCGAGAAGCAACAGTGGCTGAAGAGACTGAGGGCTCGATTGGAAAATTGTCCTTACTCGGGTGACGCCGATATAGCAGGTGGAGCGATGCTACACTGCTATCACAAATTGACGGATTTCTCTTCTGACGAGTGAGATCGAAGAGCCGCGGAGGAGATGTTTGACCGACTGTTCCGTCCCAATCGCGCCTGAAATCGGAAAGAAGAAATGCTCCGGATCAGCGCGCCCCCGCTTCGCTTAGATATTGCACCATGAAATCAAAGGCTCCGAAGCAATAAAGAGACTATACGGCTAGTCCCGTTTCTAGACGAAAAATGAATATTTCGCATCGCTTGAGTAAGCTTCGGCGATCTACTGGATTGGACCGTCAACCGAGAGATCCTATCACCATCGATCAAATCTCTCGCCGACCCCCGATCTCTCTCCCACCCCGCTGCGTTCCGTCTGGAGATCCCAAATGGTGATATTTTTGCATACTTCAATCCTTCCCCTAAGCGTGAACAGAACACGGATGCGTCATCTGTCTGCAACTTCGCTTCATCCAGGATTGGAAGCTTCAGGCAACCACGTGGAAATCCCTCCCTAATCCCGAATCCATGTATTATGATGTGATAGATGGATCGCGGAGTGCGCATCGAGATCCATGGATGCGATGTGGGCATATCCGAGCCTGCCTCATCCGAGAGCTCTCTGAGAGCGAATTGAGATCGTCTTAGTCGAGAATTATCTCACTTGGATCTGTTATTTATTCGAGCGGGTGAAGCGGTGTTCTCTATTCTTCTGACGGATGAAAATATATCGGGGGGAATGAATATCCGTAAGAGAGTCCCTTACGACTCCTTATCGACTCTTCGATGAGCTCGATGTGATTCGATAGTTCTGACCCTATGACCCGGATCTGAGCTGCAAGATCTGAGCCCCGTGATGAACGGTGATCTGCTGTCAGATATGAGGTGTAAATCCATTATGCAAGGGTATTCCGCTCTCCTCTGACCAGAAATGGAGTGAGAGCACCCTACAGATTCATGAACATCACTGCTGTCTGAGCTTCAGCGCCGAGAATTGTTTTCCTGTCCCTTTTGGTCCATAATCAGCTTGCGGTCAGCTCATCTGTAGAAGTGGTAGAGCATGGCTGCGCCCGCCACATCGGACTCGCCAGAATACTCGCATCTCTCGAGGCAGACCCTGAACTTCTGGAGCCAATCTTCTTTGGCTTCAGAGCTCGTCGCCCTGGAATGAGACTTCTTATGAGCACGGTAGACTCCCCGAGCCCGCGAGGGGAGTTAGGCGACCAGGAGACGCCGAGATCTCCCTTGGAGTGGGCAGAGCTATATGGACACAATCAGAGACCCGGATCGAGCCCACTTTCTTTCACACGGAATTTTTCGGAAGCATCAGAATTTCCATTCTTACCGAAGATAGAGACTTCTACAGGCGCTGAGAGATGCTCTGTAAGCACCGTATTCTTGGAGGATACCCTCGAGCGGGACTGTTCGCACCATCCACGGAAGAACGCGCGTTTCTCCCTCCATCACGTAGCAGATGTGGATGCAGCTGCGGAATCCAAAGGGCTCATTCAAGATACCTTCTACCGACGAGATCTCACACCAACAAGATCTGCTCGGTTGCAGAACAATTCTTTTGTTGCATATCGAGTCGAGGCCCGCCATACATGGTAATTAAGAATTTCGTACCGTTTGCAGTCGCTGATGACGATCGAGCTCTGACCTCTCGTTTTCTCGCTGAGGTCCGCACAAGTGATTACTCGGTCGAGTCGAATCACTCGCGTGGGCGTCTTCCTGAGGCAATGCTGAGAGATTGACAGGGAACTCGATTATTAAGGCCCGCGTGCTCGCGGTCACACTTATTGTCGTACGCGAAGTATCGGTACCCCTGGAGAGAGAGTGAGCGAGGATTCAGAGGTATGAGTCACTGACCTCCCATGATTCGAAGAAGAGGAGTTTCGCGGTCGACAGCGCCACGTATTGCTTCCGCCATCCACCATTCTTGGATGGGGAGAGTGATATATCGAACCAGGCTGAAAAGGGACGAGAGGCTTCCACTCAGGCAAACGAGATACAATAACCGTTCGTCTCATCTCGCCATTCCTACGCTGGAAACGTACCTTCAATGGGCGCGGAATCGATTCCGAGGCGTAGTCTTCGCATCTTCTCGTTGTGATATTCCAGACCGAGTGACCTGAGGTCGGACACTGTTTTCCGGAAGAGCTCGGCAGTATAGACTGGAAGGTCAGACGAAACACCGTTCATTAGGAAGCTCTCTCCGAGCGCCGGGTTCGCTCTGGTTCTGTCACGGGGGGAATTCTGTTTCAGTCGATCATTTCTCGCGGAGGAGGACGAAATGGAAAACTCACCCAGGATCAGATCTTTGGCCGAGAAGGCTTCTTGATTTGATTGCGTCTTCGAAACGGCCAAGCCACAACTGGTCGCATCCACGGAGTCTGCATGCGGAGACTCGCCGCCCTCTCGGTGCCTCTGTAAGAAGGCGCGAACACGGTTCAGCAGAGAAGCCATTTGGGATTCGGCGTAGATTCGGTCAACGACCCGGAATGAACTCGGAGTTGGCGCAGCATGTCGAAATTCAGTGGACTTCACGGTCGTTTTGACCGGAACCGATGAGTGAGAGGACTTCATCGAGAGAAGAGAGAGGCTTCTCTATCAGATACCGGGACGGAATCGGCTGCCGGAAAGGAAATATGCTCAGTCTTGGATTCGAGGCGCTCAGAGATCATTTTCACTCCAATCGATCTAGATAAGGTATCCTGCCGAGTGGAGGGCCCATGTAGAATCGAAATGAAATCAGACAACCCCGAGCCGAGAGCCTCTCCTGCCGACAATCTCGTGAGCGCACCGACGATCGCACTGTGGTTCGTGTGAATGATTCGAATTTATCTAATGTGATGTTCTCGGCCGAGATTATCGAATGTCCAGGTACTTCCGGGGACGTTCATCCAAGACCATGCGGTATAACTCATAGTATATGTATCACGTACACGCAAGCTGGTGAAGGAATTCTATGAAGGAATGATAGACTCGTCGCGAGCACGGACTCCGCGAACTGGGGATTCCGGGAACCCCGCGACCCTCAAACATGTCGAGCCGATCGAGTGATTACCTCTATTCCGAAGCTCAGAGAATAGATGTATTCAGTATGAGAGCGTTCGACAGGATAGTGTCGTGCTCCGAAGGCTGCTCCAGCGTAGCTAGCTGAGTGCTCCACCGACAGACGGCTGTCCGTTTCATGATTCCAATTTTTTTTGATGTCAGTAATGACCGATATCATATTCCGACTTGGCGGTCTACGAAGTCTCCACGCGTCTCCTCCGAGAGCGACGCGAAATCCTATCGGTGAGCGTCATCGATAGCATTTCTCACTTGGATCAACATTGAGCCACTCCGGCGACGCTTCTATTCGAGGGCTCGGTCTGAGGGCCCGAAGGCTGGGGAATGATCCCGAGGACCATGGGTCGACGACTGGGGGATCCTCTGGGGCTCAATCTCGCCCCCCCCCTTCCTGAGTGCTGAAGCTGACGTGATGATTGATCAGAATTGTCATCTTGGTTTTTGGCCTCGTCGCGTCGCGTTTGAGATGGCCCAGATGACCACTGATCGTTCCGCTCAGTCTACGGGCCACCAGTTTTTGATGCGGCACTCCTGGACAAAACCGCGCCGATGTCGGTTGGTGTCGTCGAGAACTCCGCCTCAACGCCTGAGCACGGTTCAACGAATCAAGCAAGCGTTGCTTAGAGTCCTGGAATCCCTGGCGTACAGGAGACGCTTCGAAACCACATTTTTTTACTCGAGCGTTGACCTCCTCTCAATGTGACGACGGGCTCCGACGCCGTTTTTTTGCCGTCACCGAGAGCGCCGGAGTTTAAGACTCGGCGGTGTTCGGAGAGGCGGGGCTCGCCGCCGGGGGGAAGCCGGGACGGAGTCTCTCTCCTCACCCCGTTCGGTAATCCCCCTGGGCAAGATTCTGACTCTTCGAAGCGAGTCGTCTTTCGCACTTAGATCGCGCGATAATCGAAAATCGCTCCGATGTCCGCCTCGATCGACCGTATGACGACATCCCCGAGTTTTCTTCCCTTCTATCGCTCGCTCATCAATCTCTTGAGCACGCACGCTCGCTCGTCGGGATTTCGTCGTACTCTGATGTGAAAACCTACCAAGCAGCCTTGTCCCTAGCCGGCGTTTGAGCCTCGGCCAGCGAACGGAGAAGCCAACAGCCCAATGACTTCAGCGTATAAGTACACGGAGTAGATATAAGCGTATAAATACAAGTCGGCCAAGAACAGAAAAGAGGCTCTGGCGCTTGAATTCGTCTGCAAAGAGTTCCATGATTCGATCCCTGATCTAACATTCACATTTTTTACCGGCCATCAGCCTCAGTCAGCGGTATTTCAGGAGCGAAACTGAAAGACCCCTTCACAACCGAATAAGCTCTATATTTGTCGAATCTCGCATCCTCGGTTAGGTCTCTGCTGTATGCTCGGGGACAATTCTATCTTGGGATATATTCTGCCGAGCTCACCGACGGAACTTAAGATCGGGAAGACTCCCGAAGATCAGCTCTTTAGGAGCCGATTCATGAATAATGCAATGATTTATCTGGAAGTCTATAGAAGCCGCGCTCGCCAGCGCCGTTCCAGGTCGTTTCTCCAACAATCAGAACAATCAGCCAGTTCAAAAAACAACTCAAAGCGCATTGCCTAGACCATCTCCCTCCTCCCTCCTCACCAACAGCGCCATAAGCATCACAAATGCAGCCATTGCTCGCGAGTGATTGAATAAACTGTTATTGATTGATTGATTGATTGAACTGTTCTCCTTACTCTTCGTCGGGAGGCCTCTAGAAAGCTTAAGCCACTGGCCGCCCGTCTTAACGGCAGCGCATCATCTGAAGATCCATGCATACCGAGTTCCCCGGTTTCAGACGGGATTAAAGAAGGCGCTGCAGCTGCTATATTCCCGTCTTCATTCAAGATTCACCCGTTTCCTCCGATACTGTGGATATTGAACCAACGTCTGTTCATTGATTCCGGCGCCACGGTACAGAATGATCGGGGGCCCAAGATTCTAATACAGTGTTTTTTATTCAATACGTCCATAACTCCTGAGTTCGAGGGAAGTCTGACTTCCAGCGGAAGAAGCGGAGCATCTCCTCGTCTGCTTTCTGCGGCTGTCCTGAAAACTCGTAAACGTCTAGGGACTTTCTGAATTTTCGCTCCCAATCGGCCTTGGCTTGGGGGCTGTCAGCGCTGAAATATATTCATCGTTAGGTACGTTCAAGCCCCGATTGATTCGAAACATTCTCTTCCGTCGGAGTGTACGCAAATTGATCAAATCATGATCGATGATCGAGATCGAATTATGGACTCTGAAATTCGCTCACAGAAGAACGAGGTTCCCGCCAGCTTCGCGTGTGGATATGTATTCGAAATGTCTCTCCAAAAGTTCTCTGTGTCGAGGCCTCTCCTCCATCCAGGGCAACAACTGAATCTCTCCCTTCATCACGTAATAAATGAGGACGCTCCTGGAAGGATTGATTCGAAAGTAGGAGATACCCATCAATTCTAATTCCGTATATCCAAATTCAATGAAGGCCTTCTACCGTTCGACGTAACGATTCGCCTCCAGACTCAAAATCTGTAAGATTTCGGAATCCGGACTTCTCAATACTCACCGACGGGCGTCGGAGGCTGATAGCGATAGTCGTTCCCTCGTCAACTCAGGAACATCTCCCGTGGTGATCACTTGCTCCAACTCTATCACCTTCGACGGTGTTTTCTCGAGATATCCCTGGGCAGTAAGCGTCGGACGTGAAGCAGTGCGAGGCATGGCTTAATCTGCGTTTTTCAGTCGAAAGCGACTCGTTCGGAATACCGCCACGATGGAAGTAGTCTAGCCCGATGGAGTATCTCGAGGACTCACCTCTTGGCAATCGAAGAAGAGCAGCTCCGAAGCAGAGAGCGCAATGTATTGCTGGCTCCAGCCGTCGCGTTCTTGCATGGAGGGATACACGGTGAACCAAGCTGTGGAAATGTACATAGATGAGCTCATCTCTGCAAAGCGCTGGAGAGTTTCTTTTCATCGAAGGAGTAATTGTGCAACATGCCTTCCACTGGGTCATCTTCGCCGGATTCCCGCCTCCGGGTCTTCTCAGCGCGGTATTCTCTTCCACTGAAGCGAAGACGCGCCCGCGTTCGTTCTGCGAGTTCCTGAGCGTGATCTGAGGACGGTATCAGGGTATGTTTTTTCGATTCGGTCCGTCCTTTGCTTAGTTCGCACAGCTCTTCCTCGATCGATCGACTAACCATCAATCAGGGTGACTCGAGCTCACAAGGAATAGAGATCCGGGGGAAAACTTCTCGCTCAACTCACCCCAGAGTGGATCATCCTCCGCATCGGTGTCTCGTGAATATGTATCTGGAGACATCACCTCTGAATGGCAAAAGGGAGCTTCGACGTTCTGGGGATCAATGGCTTTCCTAAGTTTATGGAGCAGAGTGCGCACTGGGCTCAGTAGAGACGCCATTTCGATCGTTGGGTGTTTTGGGTGCCGCATGGGCATCAATGATGCGGCAGAGAGTCTATGAGGCCTCTTATTTTCGGATCGGAATCAGAGAGAGGGTCATGTGAGGGTGACGTACTCTCTGATCGATGACTCAAGATTCGATGACACAATAATGCTCATGGGATGCCGGGAAGCGGGGCTGGAGAATCTTGCTTAACTCAGATGGCTCGGAATGATTCGGGTGAGCCCCTGCGATACCTCGGCCAGGTCGACTTCGATCAAGGAACGATAGGTAGAAAGCGAGCATCGGGTCCGCTCTGCAACTCTCGCCCCCCTCCCTTCCCCCTGATGGCGGTCATGCGGCTCGATCCCGCCTTGGGAACGCTTCCGCCGAAGGCATACGATCGTAACGAGCTCGACAGAGTGCATTCTTCAAGAGAAATTCGATTTAGAGGAGAACGATCCTCCATGAAGTCCCAGATTATACAAATCATGATTCAACGCTCACAATAGCTTACGATTCGATTAGAGGTCTGCGATCTCCGAGTGAGTTTCCGGAGCCTGCAATCAATTCCAAGCTATCGAAATGGAATGATCCACATCGATGCCGTGCGTATGTCGACGCAGACCGTCTTAGACAGCTGAATTTCTAAATCATTATCCACGGCTGTGTGGTGCTCGGTTACCATCGATGACCCGTCCTGTATACCTGTTGACCTGCACGCGGACAGACTCCTCTAAGAAGAGCTACCGATGTTCGCGGGGCGTGCGAGATCCTGGGCACGAAGAAAAAAGTGCTCCCTGCGCGGCTCCGTTCTGGCTGTTGTGACCAATTACGACGAAATTATGGCCTATGCATCCGATGTCCCCCTCAGAAGGATCCCAGAATCTGGGACGCGGGCGCTGATGAAAGCTGGCTGATCGAAGAGGCGACCGATACGGCGTCCGAGAACCGGTTCCCAGACTGGAGCTGATCGGGCTCTTCGACGCTATTCTCCGGATTTATTGAGTGCTGCGTCCGAGGATTCTCTTCGGCTCGAGCTCATAGAAACCGCGAGGAATATTCAGCCCTATCCGTATTCTCCCAGAGTCTTGCTGGTGAGCTGAGCCTCATTCGAGCGGAGAATCAGCCTCGATGAGTACAGTTGCCTGACAATGAGTCAAGCAAGCCGACCAGTGCAAAAGAGTTCTCCTCGATCGGAGGTGCTCAATCGAGAGTCTTCATAGTAAGCGAAATTCCCAAGACTTCCATCGAGATTTGGAAGCTGGGACCTGCGATCGAGGGAGCTCTGGGATACGCCCCTGGCGGTAGAGTCGTTCTTGACTGGCCGTGAATATGAGACAAATCATAGGTTTATTTCAATCAAGAGTGTCTTAAGTCGATAAAGATGTGTTTCTCCTCGGTGGATCCGTACAGAACAAAATCGCTCCTCTTTTACCTTATGTGTATATCGATAGAATATTTGGATAATCTTAATTGGTAGACAGATAAAAGGCTGCTCCATGATGAGTTTCCTCATGCTCCCTTGCGAGATAAAACAAAGTATCTAGTCAGGTGATGTTTCCGTCAGCTGTCTTTACGCTCTTCACAACAGCTGTTCTGGAGTCTCTCCAGACTGGATCTGCTCTCACGAACTCAGGGTCGGTTGTTCACCAGGCGCTCTCCTCTCCTCGTAGGCAGGCTGTACTCACACTTGCATCTATGACTGCTTTCATCGATACTATGGGGTGACTGATCCGTTATCCGCTCCAGCTCTACGAGGCTCGAAGGAATTAACGATTACTTCCGGGGACAAACGCTTAAATTTGATTGGAGGTTGATCCAACCAGTCTTAAGGTTTGCGAGAAGACGTTACGGAGAGTACATCCGATCTGCGACTGTGAAGACGGGCAATTAGAAGAAGCATTTGAGTCTACCGCGACCGAACGTCCTAACGTCTCGATATCGAGTCTGACCGATCGTAGATGGGAAGTATCGGGTCGGAAATACTCACAATAGACGATGACCTGGTCACAGGCGGTGCGCGATTGGGATTGAATGGAAGCTGTTCAGCGACTGCTTGTTGGGGTCGGGTGTGGGCGTCGAGGCACTTCTGATACCTCAGCTTGTAGGCGGCTTCGAGAGCTTTCGTCAGAGCTGCAGCTGTCGGTTCGCAATGGAAAACATGGGCCACAAATCGCCTTTGGCTGCTCCCCGGATTCGGATCTACGACGAGGCTGCACATCTCCTCCTGTAATCGCCGATGGAACCGATGACTGAGACATCCGCATTGATCACGATGATCCGAAACCCAATCAGAGAAAATCGGGACGCTTCATGCGGTCTGGAGAGAGACACTCACCTGTCTCCCCATGCCGATGTATTCAATGAAACGCACGCGCGCATCGAAAACAACCTCACGCTCATTGTCTTGCGGCTTCACGGTCACGCAGGAAGTCGTCACAGTGACTTTGACCGGCCTATATCTATAAGGCGGAACGACAGAAACCAAACGATCGATCGCGGAGATAAGCATGTCCATTCCCTCGGGTTTGGACACTTCGATGGAGCCCACGTAGAGAGCTTTCAAGGTCTTGTTGATTTCTTCCGAGGGTTGAGGGAAGCTATCTGCCCCCAAAAGCAAATCTGAGAACCGCTTGTTCTTGCGCTCCTCCGGAAGCGCCGTAGATTTGTCGCGCTTGACAACCAGCCTGAGGAGGGATATTTCATTCATTCCTCCACCCGCATCGAGTCGATCAATATCCTGCTCCTCCGTGTTGCCTCAATCGCCTACGGCCTAGAACTGTGAGGACCGGCGCTTACCCTCGCTCAATCATAGCCCGCTTGCAGGCGTCCCTGAGTGTAGTCGCGATTATTCTCGCCGGCATGTCGCAGCGAAACACATGGCAAAGCACGACGTGTTTGTTGACCCGGTCTCGAGCGACGTAGGCGAAGTCCCTAGAAAATCACGCAGTGTCAGTCGTCGGGTTCAGCCTCGACTCGACTGGGAGCGGGGGATGGAATAAAGACGCTTCAAGGATCGAGTGCTGAAGTAGTATGCACAAATAGTATGGGTGTTGTGGGCTAAGGACGTTGGACCTCAGATGATAGAGGTCTAACGTCCTTTCCGGAATTGACAGTGACGCGTGATATTCGGAAACGGGGAATAAGGCAAGGGATCACGACAAGCTGCGAGCCTAGGGTATTCTCGTTTTTCGATGGCTGACGTCGCGATTAGCCATTGAAAAATTCTCTGGTGATCTCTGAACCTCGATCTCTAACATGGGGAATGAGAACAAGCGGGCGATCTTCACGAAAGTTCGAAGCGATAAGCAGTTACCTTTCACTGTGGAGAAGGCGAGAGCGGCGGGGCGAAAAACACGTTAGGGCGAGATCAAGGCCACAGTCGAGTGAATGATCTAGCTTACGTGACTCTCCCAAACTTAAAATTCATCTTGGCTGTCCGCCTCGTTTCGGACATGACTCGGTGCCCAGCGGCCTTAGCTAACAGCAGTCCCCGGGACTCACCTATCTTTATCTCTGCCAACTCCCCACATGCGGATCATATGAATGGGCTGTTCCAAAATAATACATTCGTCCTCTTCATCGATCTCTTCCGTGAGTGCACTCGCTCCGCACAAGAGATCATCCGTGCACAAGTCATCGATTTCCACAATCTGGAAACGAGGATGAGGAAATTTACTCCCATGCAGCAATAACCGATTACAGTGGTTGTTCTCTCTTGGCGGAACCCACCTTCGATTTGATCTTATTCGGATCGATCAGACGCAAAGTCTCGTCATCGATGTCCATGTAAATGTCAATGCCCTTCCCCCATCTATCACGGGTGGCTCCGCCATTTTCTTCTTCGGTTCCGAGCTGCTTGATGATGGAGTTTACGGCCCGAGAACTTCGCTCCGGCGTGAGATCTTCCTCAGGCACCTCCATCCAACCCAGGGAGCGGACAGCGAAGCGGATCGCTTTTTTCTGATTCGATTGGATCATTTGATCAATGGCGCGCCGGGTCAGGATCGGGCAGCTCTGTCGTTTCAAGGCTCGATCCGCTGGATTTGAGGCCGCCATCTGTGAATCAGCAATTGAATACACGAATGCTGTGGTCCCTCTCACATGCGTCGTCCTAGCGAGCCAGACCGGAGTCTAGAAATTTAGGCACCTTGTTCCTAAAGGTGACGCCCGGCAACGCTAGGCGCTTCTGTTGTTCTTGGAGCTTCTCGGTATCCTCTTTTGTGGGCATCTCTCGCTGAATTGTTCCAGTAGCGATGTGCCAGTAGTAAGCACCGTCTTCGTCCTCGTGCTTCTCCCAGCCAACCGGCACTTCCTGCGCATCGGGTTTGACGGACTTCTCCGGAACCTCATCCGCAGCTTCGGAAGAATAATTCTTACAACTTGCACTTGGAGCCCGAGGCGATCCGACTTGCAGAAGATGCACTCCGGCCGGCCTTTTGCAAGTGTGCGATATTCATCGATTCCCTGCCCACCTTTCTCTCTGTCGCTGTCGACTATGCCAGACGCTTCCCGTTTCTGCCGTACGGCACTCTCGAGACTCAGATAATAATCGAGGAAGTTCGCGCTACTCTTGTCCATCTTGGCGCTCCGCTTCGATGACGCAGGGGAGCCTTGAAGGCTGGACAAACTTCCGCCCACGTTCCCATTCTGCTCCCTGCAAGTGACATCTCCAATGACAAGACATCGCTTCTTCCGACTCTGATAACAGCTGAATATAACGCTGACGTAAATAGGATCGCCTTCCCCGTGGAGCCGTAAACATCGCGCCGTTAAATACACTCACAATAGAGAACTTTTTAATAACGCTGCGGCACCCCCGGTATGATGAGGCTGCGCCGATGGGCTGTTCGGAGCCATTCCGTGACCGGTCGCCAGCTCCTGACGGCGACTTCGGACATGCCGAGCAGCTTGAGGCGTGCAGGGCGTAGACGCGGTTCCTCTCTCGGCGGACGCCAGCTCTGAGCCGAAATCACTGTTGTTGTTGTTGTTGTTGTTCGGGTTGTTGTTAATGTTGATGTTGTTCACAAGATTCAGATTCCCTATGTCAATCAATCGATCAAGTAAGCGTTCCAGAGCTTCATAAGATCGTCTCGGAGGCGAATTCAGAGGCAAGCTCACTTATCGGGACCGATGCTGGACTCCGCGGCCCAGCAAGAAGTCGCCCCCGCCCCCTCCCCCGGCACGAGAAAAAATATTGCGCGGTTGAGCCCTGGCAGGAGACTCGATGGTTCCGGACACTAGCCAAAGGGTTGCATGAGTGCGTCATTACGACCCTTGCGATGTAAGCCTGCGAGGCTACGAAGGCGATCCAGATACTTACCAAACGCTAGATTGTCTACGGCATTCATTATAACGCGTTTCGCCTGCGGAAGAGGAATACTCGGTCTCACGAGGAAGATGCCACGTCCGTTTCGTGATACTATCTAACAAGATGTCACTGCGGCAAACCGACTCCCGTTAGCGCTTAGCGTTTCGACTCGCGCTCAATGACTCATTCTTGGAGCGAAGCGTTCAAGGCAATCATCCTCGAAGGTTCCTCACGGAAATGAGATCTTGATACTCACATATCGCTGAGCTCAACAGCGCTCAATCATCAGAGGTGGGGACCAGAAGCTCACCGAGTGAGAAGGGGACACAATCTCTAGTTGGGGTCTCCGATCGATGCCCGCTGTACTAGCGGAGCGCTTCAGGGATTCGGGAGAGGGCGCCGGAGCTCGAGCCTCCACCGCGATGAGCTCCGTTGCCGCGGATTTTTTCCTGTGAATGAATGGTAGGATCTCTCAGAGTGGGATCTCTACCCGGGGCTTCCCGATGTGGATGAGCTCTTACACTGATAGCATCGTTCCCTGAAGGCTATCTATACATATTGCGATCTGCTGCGACACCTCTTACCGAGGTAACCTCCAACCTGGAGAGGAGGAAGGCCGCTCTCATGAGCTGAGGGCGGGCTCTGGCTCGTAAGTGCCCCAATGACGGGAATCGTTCCAAATGCTCGAGAGACGATATGGTTCGCCGAGGAAGAAAATCTTGCGCAGATCTCTCACGTGGGGCTGGCTCTCTCCTCGGATCCTAGCATAGCGGTCCTTGCGTCTACGGTCCTCGAAGAGTCCCGATCAAGTCACCACGACGCGACGCCCGCATATACATACATACACCATGCTATGACCATGCTCGGCTGTGGGAGAGCGGACATTCAGGACTAGAAAAAAGGTACACGGACGCAAAGAAAATACAACGGCCCCCCTTAAAGGGGGGCACTATCCCATGACATACCGGGCTCGAAAGGATCGGTACATAGAGGGACGAGCCCGTCTCTAATCGAAATACGGTATTTTAGGCTATGCGAACATGGACGCTGAGGAGAAGAATGATTCGAATCGGTTGAATCAGTCATCTCTATACCCCTGGTCCTCGATTTGGTGATTAAGAGCATCGCATCCATGACTTCGGATCATATTCATCTCCATACGTTCTCCTTGAGAATGTCTATTCTGTGCTCCATCTGCGCGGAGCCGTTCCTCGCAGGGCTTCCATCGTCGGGAGTTCCGGCTCTTTCGGGGAGTCATTCTTGCTTCGACTCCTCGGACATTCCTTCATTCCAAAAACAAATGATATTCCGCTGTCGCCGCTGTGTGATGATATTCCGCTGTGTGCACAGACGCTCATGGCGCGAGTTCTCCTCTCGTCATATGACCGCGACAGGCGGATTCCGTACTCCCCAACTTCCGAGATTTAAGGGGGAAGCCTAAACGACGGAGCTTTTCTAAATATTGCCCCTCTTTCCGCCAACTGATGAGGTTTCAGGCATTTAGCTAGAGTTCCTCTGTTTAAATCTTTTTGTATGTTCCTCACATCCATAGGTGAGTTCTCGGTGCACAAGACATTTGGTGGAAGGTATCGATGGGTGGGACAAAGTCGCGGCACTCATTTTTCAAATAACTACTCCGATGATATGTTCCATGTTCTGATGTTACGATCTTCCTCCAAAAACTGGCTTGATTGTAGAGATAGAGGCTTAGATCTCCCGCGGAATCCCCCACTGTGTCACGAAGCTGACAGCGTGGCTGGAATATGTCCGAGGAACGTGGTCCGGTCTGAACTCTATTTCCCTTTCGTTCTTGTTCTGGGGGAGAGTGTCCTCGTGATTCGGAGTGATCACGAACTCTAGAGAGTACTCGAGAGAACAAAAATCAAACAATAGACACTGAGTCGCGTCGCTCGGGACTCTGATGATCCCTCCTGCTGGTTTCATCGAAGCGAATCATTCCAATGTTTTCTCTCTTCCAGGCTGCTTGATCAGGCAGAGATGTTCTCGGCTGGGGTGACCGAGGTGTCGATTCCAGCCGAAGGCGAAGTGGTTGAAAACTCAGACAAGTCTGTGGAACAGAACATGACCACGATTGTCGAGCACGCTGACTCGAACGTATACGCCGAATGGGTGACTTCGAACAACTTTCTCCGTGCCGGCCAGGAGCTCATAGTAATCCACAGACCAGCGGTATCTAATGGGAACAGCAATTGGCCGCTTCGGTCGAATTCCGTTGCTTCCGCGCAAGACCAAGAGGAATCTATGCAGAATCAATCGCTTACGTTGTTGCAAGCCAATTCGAAGCGGAAAAAGGACGATGAGCCTGGTAAGAAGAAACGTTGGTACAGGCAGAAATTCTGTGACTCCTGGCTTTCGGATGAACGATTCAAGGACTGGATCGGCAAAGTGTCCGATGACGTCTACAAAGTTTATTGCCGCTTCTGCAAAGTCGAACTCCGTGCCGGCTGCTCAGAGCTCCTCAAGCACTTGAAGACGAAATACCACATCGATGCCACGAATCAAGATCGGTCTTCTCCGAAAGAACTCTGTTACATTGTCGAGCAGCAGGTCGAGGAGCACCAGGTGGACATCGAGCCCGGCTCCGTCGATAGTTCCCAACAAATCGAACATTTCTCGATCCAGGAGCAAAAATTCGATTCGGTTGGCGATGGCCAAGGGGTAGAGCAGATCTGTGAAGCGAATGAAGTGAGGAGGGTTCAAATTCTGAGGCCGATCCCAGCATTCCGGACTCCAGCCATCGTAGACGGAGTTCTGAAAGAGATAAGTCTTCTCGATTATCTTGGGCGGTTCGTGCTGCTGACTTTTTACATCACAGATTTCGAACACAGTTCAATTAATCTCGTTCAAGAACTTATATTGCTGCAATCGGAGTTCGAGAAACACAACTGCGTCCTTCTGGCAGCTTCTGGCGATTCTGTTGTGACGCACAAAGCCTGGATAAGTTCCATTTCGGACAACGGTCCCAAATTCCCGATCCCTTTGATAGGCGACTACAACAAGAGTGTCGCTAAATCGTTCGGGGTCTACGACGAAGAATCGGGTTGTGCTATCCCCTCGACGTTCCTCATAGATCCCAAAGGGCGGCTGAGGCATATGACCGTCAACGATCTCAGCGTGACCGTATCACCGGGTCAACTGGAAAACTGCCTAAAAAATCTAAAAGTCATAGATTCGAAGAAAATCGAAAGTCCGCTGATATGCTAGGAAGATTCCCATGCAAATTTGTACATTTAACGTCATTGAGAATAGGCTGCGTCGTTGTGTAATTAGGATTGTAAATATCATTGATGGCATGTTGAAAGCCCTAAATAAACGAGTCGATAAACTGTTCCTTCTCCGCCGTTCATTTTCGAATCTTTCCCGAGACAAACTCAAGGGAGGTCTACTCTCTTTTCCTCAAGGAAACTCCGCGTCGTAGGCGGAGACATACGTGACAGGAGAGTCATACGGGGGCCGCCGATCGCATTTCCTCACCCTCAATTGAGGAAGATCGGATTCATTTTTTTGATACCAAGAGTCATGGCTTTGTAAAAATCTCTTTGTATTCGTTCTCTATACTTGACGATGTGGCGCCATTGTGATTGTCCCACAAGGGACTGAGCCGATACGCTGATGAGCGGGGTGGAATCAGGGCACGCTCATGGTCTACCGGAAACTGTCCCTCCGGGGCTCACCGGAGCCTTCCCAGACGCGTTGATGGGAATGGAACAGCCCGTTGCGACGGATTTTTCGCCCACTCGCTACAGTCTCCGCTTCCCATGGGATCAAACTCCTCGGTCGCTTCCCTAGAGGGTAGCTGCTCGCGACTCGCAAAAAAAGGACACACAGGACTGGTTGAAGAGCTGCCCTCGAGGTCATTATCGAGGGTGCAGAAGTTCAAGGACAGCTCTTGGTTTCCGAATTGATTGAGCGTTGATGTCGATGACAGTGACTGGAGCCGTTGTGCAATTAATGGGGAGAGGGGGTGCCGATAGATACGGACTCGATCCGTTCTCCGCGCATAATCTTTCCTCCTTAGAATTTCTTCTTCTTGACTTCTGACATCATCCTCGTCTGTCCTTTGGAATAAGGGATCTCTCCACTCACTTAAGCGAGAGCAATCGTTTTCTTCCTTTGATTTTCCCCCTATCGTCAGCTGAACAAAAAATTATCTCAGCCTCGCCCCTCGGGAACGTTCCAATGCCCCGAGATATCTCCTGCAGAGTATTTCCAGGTCCCTCCTCCATTCGAATCGAGCACCGACCCGACGGTACACGGGTCGAGGCCAACAGTATCCAGCGGGTGGAACGAATGGAGGAGATCACCAAGCGCATTTCGCAGAGTACCCACTATCCAACGGCTAGACGGTTCTGATAACGAAGTGCCGCGCGTACGGTGCGAACGTAGAAGGCGTTTCGAGTTTTCCCTTCTCGGGGGAGGGTCGTCGCCGCTCCGGGGGCTGTCGCCAATGACCCGATCGATTCCCATCTCACCAATTTGACCTCTGGATTACCTACACCGGCTGAGACGCGATCGCTGACAGCGACTATTCATCTCGCCTCGTTTATGAAAGTACATGACTATACATATTCTATACCGACTTTCTGGCCGACGGGCTCATCGATCGACTGGCCTTTGGATCGATTTCGTGGCGGCGAGAAAAGCGTCTCGCACTCGAAACAGAGAGCCACCCGAATCTTTACCCGACCACAACGAGTGAATGTGGTGCGACGTGCGACTATCACGGCTGACGTACAGCCCCGAGTACAGTTCGCGCCGGAAGTTCCGTCTGTATTCTAAACGTCTGTATTCAGAAAGAAGCAGAAGACGCCCTCGAAATCACAGTACGGGAAATCTCTTCTGCGTCGACGGCCGCCGGGTGCATTTGAAGGAACAGACCAACATGGTTCGGCGAGACTCCTGAGCCGACTGAAATCTCACAGGTCGTTTTGATTAGAAGGACGCGAGTGACAAGATCCGCAAGAAGCCACCAGCTGTACCGAAATCGGGGACCATATTAGATTCCATCGTCGCGTCGGGTCTGGCGGTGAGCCCCGACCCCCGACGCCCTAATCAGTAATTTATTGAGATCGAGGTTTCCTGCTCCTTCTGCCAGAAAGAAGGTGATGACCCAGTTCCGGCCCGTCCCACATGTAAAATAGGGATGAGCGCTGTTTTCCGAGGAGCGAAGGTAATGGAGACAGCAGACATTGACCTTGAAATGATTATCGTTCATTCCTCCCAAGACAGACCTGTCCTCATCTTTATCGGTCCTATCATCTGCTAGATCCCATTTTTTCTTGAGGGAATCGAAGCGCGGCACCGCGACGGCGTATTTTCGGGCGCCAGAGCCGCAGGCAGAGTCGAGCCCAAGTGCTACTCGAGTATGAAAATCTCCTAGTCAACGGCGGATCGCTTCACCTTTGGATTCTTCGGAAATATGGAGGTAAAAGACTAGTGACAGACCTCCACAGAGAATAATCTCGTCAATTACGAAGGAGGCTTCGCATAAGCCTTTCTGTACTGATGGCCCATGGTGATACTTTAGTGATGGCCGCTGCCCATAATTTCGCTCGAGACTCCGATCCAGCCTTCCGGGGCAAAGGTTTCCCCCTTCGAAAGAGCTGCAGCAATTCTAGACGGGAATGTCTGAAGTCTCGAAACCCGAAAAGTCCGCGAGATCCCGAGATTGAAACGCGTAGATGAGATAAGAGAATGCTTGCCCGATCGAAAGTCGAAAAGAGCGCGCGGCGGCAGCCGGCAGCGCTGTAGCTCAACGTGTCGGTTAGCATTCGTTGGTCCGGCGAAGATAACGAAGTAGTTGTTGCCGAAGCGGGAGGCAGTCGGGTTCTGACCGTGCTCCGTGAAAAGTCGGACCTTGCTCCGTGATGAGTCGAACCGTGCTCCGTGATGAGTCGGACCGTGCTGCGTGATGAGTCGCACTGTGCTCCAGTGCTCCGGGATGAGTCTGATCGTGCCGAAACGGAAAGTGCGTGCGTGCGTCTCTGAGCGAACTTACTGAAGTGTGCTCAAGGCTTGCGTGCTTAGCGAGATCAGTGCTCAATTACATGACACACGGACACGTTTAGCGTAAGTTCACGACGGGAATCCCCTGCGAGATCCATCGCCTCGGGGTTCGAACTCCCAATTAGCTGAGTTTCTCTATCTGACTATTTGTTTATCTGACATTCTAATTACCTCGAAAGCTTGGGGTACTCGGAGCCTTCTCTTTCTCTGGGGGCCTTTCCCGACTCTATCCTATTGCTCTCAGATATCGTCCGACCGCTTTAGCGATCAGTGACGACCGTTAGTGAGATCACAGGACTCCTCCGAGCTTTCGTGATCGCTCAATCAGTAAATCATCTGATCACCCGTCCGGCCTGCTCTCTTCCCTTCAGTCGAGGTTCGTGGCTCTCGGCAATGATCACCACTAACCCAGACCTGTCCAGCTGGTGAACGATCTTTACGGTTGCTACCGAAGTCCGAGAAACTTTCGATTGAGCTTGGGTTGATCCTCCCAGATTCATTGGCCATGCGGAAGAGGAGCGAGGAAACTGGATATAGCCCCAAACTTGGACTTGCGACGGAGAGCAGGCTTAGTTAGGCCTCGAGCGGTGTCGCAGGAGAAGACCGATGTCCGCTGCCTTCGCTGTTCATGACATCTCGCGTGCCCACGGTCAATTATTTCGAAACGAGAGTTTCATCTCCCGAGATCCGAGACAGGCATTTCGAGTCAGGAGCCCTGACGTCTTCGAGCTCGGAAAGTTCGGAAGTTTCCGGAAATCCGAAACAAGGGTGCTTTACCGGACCAGACTCGGGAATGGCGTGCGGTGGCAGCACCGTAGCCCAACATGTCGGTCCGGATCCGTTATTCCGACGAAGATAACGAAGTGCTGGTGTGCTGCGTCAGCCCGTTGCCGCAAGCTCCTGGCCTCGTTCCGTGGTGTGCTTGATCGTGCTCTCCGCAAGGAATGTTCGTCTTGCTTTTCGAGCGGACATACCGAAGTGCGTTCCAGGCCTGCGTGATGAGCGAAATCAGTGCTCCGCCAGCAGACATCCGGACTTTTCACCCCTCTCAAGCGTAAGTTCACTTCACCGTCCGTACTCCCCCGCCAAGTTTGTCCGCTCGGGAATCGGTCTTTTGGATTCCGGCCTGATTCGGCGGCTTGACTACTTCGAGCTCGAAGCCTCTTTCTTCCAGCCCGCTCGATTCGATGCATGATATCATACCATCGCTTGGAGATCAATCTCGAGATCAAGGGAACACTCCGAGCTTCCAGAATCACTTTTCATGATCGGGGTCTCACCTAAACCAGACATTGCCCCTGACATTGTCCCACCGGCCTATTCCCTTCTCTTATTCACATCCCCAGCCGTGTATTTCTAGTAGACGAAGTCTGAGCCCTCTATCCGTCGTGATCGGAGCGACGGATATCATTTTTTTCCAGGGTTCTGAAAGCAAGCCCTTTGAATCGGAATTCGGCGCGGCCGTATCGTTTCATCCGAGCCCAATAATTGCAAGCGGAGTCAGGAAACCTCTCCATTAGCGGCAGGTAGCTTCTTCGAAATTTCTGGGAGGCACGGATAGGAATCGTAGTTGAGTTCTTTGCTGACTCGTGCTCTCCTGAGCAGGCCCACTCCGGTGTCGCAGGAGCAGAACGACGGCCGCTGCCCTCGCTATGAATTTCTTCGTACCTTCGGTCTGACATCTCGAGCTGACTGCCTCTCGGGGACGGGCACGGCGCGGCGACCGGCTGGACGTGTGTGGTGGTGATAGTGTGTTTGATCGTGTACTGTGTCAGAGAGTGTCTTCTCGCCCTTTGAGTGAACTTGCCAACGTGTGCTCAAGGCTCTTGTGGTTAGTGAGATCAGTGCCCCACGTGCGGATTCACGGACCCGTTGAGCGTAAGTACCATCAGGGATTGCGTGCAGAATTCGTGCTTTCAGGATCATGATCGAGTCCTTGGTTCGATCAGTCATAGCTCCCGTCTTGTCTCAATCGTATACTATCAAGAAGTCTACTTGAGCTGTCTCTGCTGATCGAAGCGACGGAATCGTTCCGGTTCCTAGGGCCTTGTAGCTTAGGACTTGGCTCTGCGGTTGCCTGTGTGTTCCGCATCCCGCTGCTTGCACGCTGCGCGAGCTCGGTATCTTCTGTATATGAGGCTCACTTTTGAACACGATCTCGTCACCCGCAACTTCTGCTCAGAAATGCGATTGATTCCGGATGCCTCGATTGGACCGAGGATCGAGACGAAGTTCCATTGAGACCGTATCAGGATGAGCGTGAGGAGGAGATGGCGTGGA